ACAGAAAGCCATCTTTAAAATCATAAAAAGTAAGATTTACTGTGGGAAGCAGATACTCTTACTAGAAGGTAAGAATGTTGTACGTTCCAAAGTTCAAATCTAGAACATAGTAACTTAACTAAATAATCGCTCACCACCACAGAACAAATCACACTAAATGGCCAACCATAGAATCATACAGGACCCAACACCTTCCTAAAGCAGGAAGACAAAACCTGGTATGTACAATGAGTGCTCTGTGCTCTAAACTTTTAGATTCCCAGTGGTTGGATAAGAAACATCTTTCCCAAACTGAAGTCAAGCAATCTGGAAGGTGAACTCTGTTGACCAGAAGCCAATGGACATTGAACTTTGGTTAAATCTCTGTTAAACAATTTTACAAGCCAGAGAAAGAGGCACCAAGTACAATAACCCCGTCCCTCCTAGGGGTGGGCCACACCCCATGTGAATTAAAAGCTCGTGGTGACTGAGGGCAAGGGGCTCCAGGGCAGAAGCTGTGTTGACTGATGGGTGTGTCGGGGACGTGGAGAGAATAGTGACTTGCTTATTTTTGTATGCTGTGGCCTTCAGGTATCAGCATTTCATGACACAGGAAGTAGATTGCAGATTAATTATAGAGTTCTTTGCTAATGAATTCTGTGATTAGGCTCTGCCTTTCCCTGCTTCTCTAAACACAGTGTCTTGAATTATAAGTTACAGTTTCTGTGAGTCATTAATCTCTCTAATTCATTTCTTTTCATCCAGAGATCCATAAATAAATGGACCCCACCATTAAGCAACCCAAACAATGACAGATGGTGGTGATCCTAACGTACCATTTATAGACTATTCATAGGCAGGAACTAAAGGAAATCTCCAAATTACTAGGTCTACTTGTAGTTAGAGGAAAGATAAATTTTCCTCTTATAGAGACACCATGTTAGTGGACTTTAGGAAAGAGAAGTGAACGTGACTGTCTTGTCAACACGACTCAGTCAGAAGTCAGCTGGTAAGAGTCTCAGTGGGGGCTCTCTGGAGGACTTGTCTGTGGGGTTGTCATGAATATGTCAGTGATGTGGGAAGACCCAGACTAAATGTGGGTGACATCATTTCCTAGGTTTGGGTTGAAAACTGTAAGCATGGAGAAGCGAGCTGAGCGGGAAGCAGGCAGCTCTGGACCCTGGCTGTGATGGAACCTTTCAAGTTCCTGATGTCTTGACTTCCACACCACGATGGACTGCAACCTGTTGTTGAGAGAAAATAAACCCTTTGCCCTTGCTTTTAGTCAAGGTGGTTTTTTTTTTTTATCATTGCAGCAGAAATTAGACTAGGACAGTGAAATTGTTTACTAGATCGTTAAACATTTCTCTATGATTAATTTTAGAGTAGGTGTTTAGGGTTTCTATTGCTGTAAAGAGACACTATGACCATGGCAACTGTTATAAAGGTAAGCATTTAATTGGGCGGTTTACAGTTTCAGAGGTTTAGTCCATTATCATCATAGGTGACAAGGTGGCATGCAGACAGACATGGTGCTAGAGATGTAACAGAGTATCCTATATCTTGACTTGCAGGCGACAGGAAGCAGTCTTTCTCATTGGCCCTGTCTTCAGAATATATGAGACCTCAAAGCCTGTCTCCACAGTGACACACTTCCTCCAACAAGGTCCTAATAGCACCATTCCCTTGGAAGTCATTTTCTTTCAAACCATTGTTACAATTTCCTTTATGATTTATTATATTATAAAATTTATGGACAAATATAAGAATCTGAGACAGTTATCACAGCTATGACACACTCACCATCATTCGAATCCCAGCTCGAAAATGGCCGTGCAGCCTTTCAATCCCTCCTCTTCTTCTCCAAGGCCACTCTTCCCCTTGTCTGCAGTTCACCAAGGATTCGCTTGTCCATTTGGCCAACTGGATATAAACCCCATCTCTTGGACCAAATGCTCTATTCAATTGCACAACAGACCACAACATAAACAAAATCCCTATAACATTTCCCCCTTTTTTGTCTAATTAAAAGGAATATTTTTAACTTTAATATAGCAAAATTATATACAAAGAAAGCAGTTATCAAGTAGGAATCACTGTCACTATATCCAGTTCATTTGTATTTGCCAAATTAGAGAAATATTTTATTATCTGTCCTATATTTGTTAGCCTAAAGTTTTATATTTAATTTACTTTTTATCATAACCAAGAAAAGCTATACACTTAATAATTTATCTTTAACTCCCTCAAAGACCCCAGAAGAATACAATGTTATCTAACAACAGGGACATCTGGCTACCTGAACAGTTATCCAAGTTTTCTTTATAATGTTGGAGCATCCATTTTTGGCCAGCAGGTTTCATATATATGACAGACTTTCCTATGAAGCAGGGAATTTTGAAGGACTATCCTACCTTGTTCAAATACCAAATATCAGTTTGACATTTGCCTTTCTTACATCTTCCTGATCCAGTTTGGACAATATACTGTCAATAATTGAGGCAAGAATGGTTTCTTTGCCCAAGTGGGTAGCTTTTGCCATAAAGAAAAAAAACTCCATATAGAGTTTCTTTGAGGCCCATTATCCTCTCTGAAGTAGATTGGTTTGCCAGAAGCAGATGTATCTCACTGTCATGAAAAGCTTCTGGTTATTAAACATCTGAAATGCTATATTCTGTGGGTCTTTGAAGTATTTGAAGACTATCTACTAAATGAATCTGTGTATGATCTTGAAAACATACCTAACATGACAATAAGTTTGCTATTATAGAACTATTAATCTGCATTTCTTAATTATATGTTATATTTTAAAATGAGCTGCATAAATGCAATACCTAAACAAGATTAGAAACATACTTTAAATTTCTATCAATAAACCAAAATCCATAACAATGTAAATTTTTTGAGATTAATAATTGTTTTTTAGATTAAAGGAGATTCAATAAACTGCCCTTTTATCTCATCATTTCTATAGCATATCCCCCTTTTTCCTTTAGAAAGAGGTATTTGAATTTAACTCTTTTGTTTAGCTTTTTAAAAAATTATTGCCAATAACAACTTCTTCCAGTCCCCTATTAAATGTTGGTAAACATCCATAACCAATCTTTTGAGAATGTAGGCATTGTTTTCTCCAGACTGCTTCCTGTCATCTGAAAGCACTGACATCATTGGGGGAAACTTGAGACAATCAGAATAATTGTTAAGTCTTGACTAGAGTATTCTGTGAGGTTGGATCATCGCAGCCAACAGCCTTGAAGCTGTTCTGGATGTTGTTGGATCATCTGGGCCATCCATTTTTATTGGTGTTTAGTCTTCTCATTCTGAAAATATAAACTTTTAAAGATAACATATATTTTTATATTAATAAAAGTACAGACTGTGTTTGTATATAAGTTAGCCAAAGATGATTTTTTGTTTTATATTTAAGAAGGTAAAATATATGTTATGTGTTTTGTAGTTTTTCCAGATTTATATCTTTATGTCTGTAGTCAGGATTTTCAGGGGGTCTTCCCTCATCAAACCTGACCCATATTAACCTGGAACAAATCTACAGCCTCTCATTTGCTGTAGAAATAAAAAGCATACCTCTTTCCCAAAGTAAGACATCTTTTGACTTTCATTTTGAATTCAAGACATATTTTAAAGTATATAGGTTGGTTTAATTTAGCAGTTTTCGTAATTCAATGTGTTTAGCAGCTGTTGTTCCTTCATTAGCAATCAGAAGATCTAAAGACAACACAATAATGACAGGACCCAAACTCTCTGTGTATGTCCCGTCTTTACGTGCCTTTTCCCCTTCATATTGCTTTATTTTTCTTTATTATTTTAAGCTATTTTTTCTATGACTGTCTATACTATTCTCCTTTTTCTTCCAAGCCTATGTACATTTTTAAACACACTGTAACCTGTTTAGAGGTTTCTTTCTGTCTGGACCTGTCTTTACTGCATATCTATAATCTTTCTCTGTCTGTATGAGCAAAACTTAAACTTGCCATGTGGCTGAGTTCATGTCATGCTGGTAGGCCTCACTCTGCCAGTGGTCACACTGGTATCTTAAGCCTAAAGGTAGCAGCTGGGAGATAGCTCTCTGTACCATGGGGCAGCATGAGAGACCTGAGACTAGGAACCCATGTTTGGCTCCATTTTTGTGTATTTAGAACCTTTTTAAAACTTTCTCAGATCTTATGTGGATGTAGGGGCAGGACATTTGGGCACCATTTGTTGCTATTTCTTTTACTGTTTATTATAATATAAAACACATGAACACATAGAAGAACCTGAGACAGTCACCATGGCCATGACACACCTGCCACCATTCACCTCCCAGCTCCAAAAGGGCTACAAAATCTTCCAATCCAACCTCTTTGGGCTATTTTTTTCTCTCATTCCAAGTTCACCAAGGACTCTCTGATCCATTCTGACCAGCTGAATGTAAACCCCACCTCTTGAACCAAGCACTCCATTCAGTTGGACAACAGACCACAACACAAACAAAATTCCTGTCACAAACCACCACAGTAGGCACAGTAGAATCTAAATTGTGGTTGTTCATGTAGATTTCCTGGCAATCTGTACTCAAAGTGTCAGTAACTTCAATTAAAGTAGAAGGTGCTATTTGTCTTCATATATCTTTATGTTTGCAATTCTATCAGCAGAAAATTTATGAGTGTATATAGCTGAAGGCTGCTTGTTCATTTCCTGGCCACCCAGACCCAAAATAATCACTCAGAAACTATATTAATCACCACTCGACTGATCACTTAAGCGTCTTGCTAGCTAGCTCTTCTATCTTAAATTAACCCATTTCTATTAACCTCTTTATCACCACATGGCTGTTGCTTACTGGGCAAAGTTCTGGCATCTGTCTCCTCTGGCAGCTGCATAGCATCTCACTGACTCCACCTACTTTCTTTCAGCATTCAGTTTAGTTTTCCCGCCTAGCTCTATTCTGCTCTGTCACAGACCAAAGCAACTTCTTTATTCATTAAACCAATAAAAGCAACACATAAACAGAAGGACTTCCCACAGCAGGTGTAAAGTCTTTTTTAGATATTTTTAAATCAACGAGTTTCCAATTTCTTGTTTATAAATATTAAGAGTTGATCATCATAAAACCTGGACTTGTGTTGTATTAATATTTCCATATATAGAATACAAAATAAATGTTCTTTTCAGTTTTAAAAAATTTAACCTCTTGTTTAGTAATATAAAATCATTATATTACTAATATATGAATATCTAGTTGTATTATTTCAAGGATAGATTTTAGATTCTCACAGAAGTATTTATTAAACATCCATTATTGCCATTTAATGGGGCATTGTGATCCAAGGCACTGAGCATCTTCTAGGGCCGGAAGAAGTTGGAGAGCTGGCTCAACAGTTAAGAGCACTGAACACTCTTCCAGAGGACCAAGGTTTGATTCCTGGCACTCACATAGTGACCCATAACCATCTGTAAGTCCAGTTCCAGGGGACCTGATGCCTTGTTCTGCTCTCTCCTGGTCTTCAGAGGCACCAGTCATGAATGCATTGTATAGACACAGGCAAACAAGACAGTCATACAAATTACAAAAAATAAATTTTAAAATCTACTCACAGACATGAGATAATAAGACATTAATATGGCCAATGTGCTCTTTAAGCAATAGGGTAAATACTGTAATAAATTTAGTAATTCATCAACTTTATTTTTGTGTAGCATAAACATTTATACAGCCACAGGACCCAGTAAGGTCTATGGATCAGGCAATGGCGTCAGTATCATAGTGTCTGTTTCTCCCTCCATCTCTCATCTTCTCAGTTTTCAAAATGGCATTCTTAGGCAGAGGACAGACTTCACCAACTCTAAATTCCCTGACACAGAAACAGGAACATCAACTCAGTAGTTCCTGCAGGCTTGCTCTGGTTAACCATCCATAAGTCAAACATCCACTTTCCTTCGCAGGCACTGTGGGTTCAGTGACACGCTATTCCCAGTGGCTCTCTGATCTTGTGGACTGCATTCGGCATGAGTGAATTTCTAAGAAGCAATAGAGATGCTAGTGGCTGAAGAAGCAAAAGAAATTTATGTCATATGTGACCATCAATTGTGTTAAATAGCAAGAGCTCCCAAGAGCCCTAGTTTGATCAAAACTTTTTGATTGGTATAAATTTCTACTTTATAAAATGCAAAACTATGTTTTACAAAGATAGATCTACACAAACAAGATCTCTCTAAGGAAACTAATGTCCATCAAAGACACAAGCAATATTTGTATATCACTGAAAAGCTCAAGGCAGGAAAATGCAAGGGTGAAAAACAAGGGACTGATTTCAGGTGATTAGTGTCAAACTGTAAGGTGTGAAAAAAAATCATGGTTCAAAAAAATGTAAAGAAAATAAGAAGTTAGATGGTGGCATCAGTAGCATTCACTCCCAAATCCTTCTACTAATAGTTTGAAGCTGTCTGTTACCAGCTCTAGAAATGTCTTATCAGCACAGAAACCTGAAAAAAGATCATGTGACTAGTTCAGGGCTAGGAGGAGATGCTGAGGAGGTGGCCCAGTCGGTGAGAGCGCCTGCTGCACCAGCATGAGGTCATGAGTTCAGATCCCAGTATTCACACGGTGGTGTGCTCATCTGGAACCCTAGCCTTGGAGCTGAAGTAAGCAGGACATCTCCAGCCTGGCCCCAGGTTCCGCAGAGACCAGATCTCAAAGGAATCAGTGTAGAGTGACAGAGAAGACACTGGACATCCTCGTGTCAGTGCACCTGCACACACGTATGCGCACACCAGATACACATTGCCATGGTTAGTCTTGGTTGTTGACAAATCACGGAAGAGGGAACCTCAGCTGAGGAATTGCTCAGCTCAAATTGGTCCGTGGTTGCTAATTGGTGTAGGAGAGTCCAGCCCACTGCATGCGGTACCAGCCCTAGGCAGGTGAGCTTTGGCCATCTAAGAGAGGTAGTGGAACAGGATTCTGGAAGAGAAGAAATATGCCGTATTCTTGTTTCTGCTACTATTTTCTGCTACTGTTTCAAAGAATGGAATATTACTGCAAATCCCAGGCCACAAAGGTGAGAAACGGACCCTGTGGTCCTGACGCTACTGAATTGCCGGCTAAGTTTCCACTCTGACTTCCCTCACAGATGGGTTTGTGACCTGATAGCAGAACTTTCCTCTCCAAATTTCTTGTAGGCATGTTTATTACAATGGAAAGCAAACTGCTGGGTACATGTGCATATGTACACACAGAATTTTTTAATGTAATAATAAGTTACTCTGGTTCCTAACTAAGTGCAGTGATTAAAAAATTCTAAGACCAAAGAAATGTTTTATGGATTTTATATTTTTGTCTTGTATAAATAAATCCATAAAAAGTAGCAACTAATTTTAATTGGAATTTATTTCTTCTTTGAGAAAAACATTTACTCTTTTTTGGAGAATAATTTTGCTCATTTTCTTTGTAAACATTGCTTGAAGAATCTTTAGCATGGCAGGTCAGTTACATAATCAGGAAATAAATTATCAGTAAACACAGAACTGTATTTTTCCACCAGACCGAGATGTTCCAATGGCTTCCTAGTAAATGAGTTTGCTTTATTGAGATATATTTCCATAGACCAGAGGCCACTGCCAGTCACTGATACCACGAGTGCGCCATAAGTAAATCAAATCAGAAGCACACTGAGTGGATACTGTAATAGAAATCCAAGCTTGGAATAGCCATGCAACAAGAAGTGAAGCGTGCCATCGTTTGTAAGTCCACCGATCTTCCCAGTGGGGGCACAACCTAGTGATTGTATTAAAACCTAGCCTTTTCCCTGCACGTCACAGCATGCATGTGTCTGTTACATGTTCATAAAATTTCCCATGGCCACCTTCTCGCAGAGGATTTGTGGCAGTTGGCATTGGTGTATTTTCATGTCTGTCTTTATACCTAGACTCTGAGGTCAAAAAGGACAGAAACTGAGGCACAGTTATCTTCCTGTCCTAGACACTGTATCCATTACCTGCTAAATACTGAGTGAAGTTAAGATTTAAAAAAAGAAAAATCCTACCAGACTCTTCTCCCTGTGACTTTCCAAACTCCTGGTCATCGTCTTGGTTAGATTCCCGCGCTAAGTGCCTAGGAGCTCAGCTTTGCATTAACCGGTCTCCAGGTCTGTACCTGCTTGTGGAATGAGATTATGACTCATGACAGAGAGTGGCAGAGATGGCAACTTCAAACACGGATGTGGTGAGTTAGCAGTGTCTGTGAATCCCCCAGATAAACTTGTGAAGAAAACAAAAACAAACAAAACTCTATTGGTAAAAGACAGAGATAGAGGGGTCTGTGAGGGGAGAAAAAGGGAATCAGGATGATGAAGGGGGCTGGTAACTGAGACGTAGGAGGAAGTGAATTTGACCAAAGCGTGTTGTATGCATGGATGAAAACAGCACAAAGAAACTCTTTAGTCCGAACGATTATTACACACTAAGAAAGGCACCTCCATCTCCTATTGGAGATATGCCAATATGTTTGTCAGAGTCTTGGCTCTGCTCCAAGGACTTTTTAGGGAAGAAGGGGATCTCTGGTATCGAGAGAGAGAGAGAGAGAGAGAGAGAGAGAGAGAGAGAGAGAATTTATTCCACAGGAAATATTGTCCAGTATGACAAATGATGCCAACAGTGTCAACTTTACTGTGGTCCCAAAGGGAATTCCATGGACAATCATGGCGACCACTTGGTCTCCTCTGCCAGCCCTATGAGATCCATGGAAGGCAAAGCTTTCCTAAACACTGTCTGATGGGGCGGTGTGAGGTAGAGAATGTTGGGGTCCCTCCTGTGCAACATACAATGCAGCTGGGTCGAGTGGCTGCCTATGCCTGCCTCAGAGCAGTTCATCCCATCCAACTCCAGCGTCCCAGGGAAAGAAATGCCTTGTCCTAGTTTCTCCTCAGAGACCGTCAGATCCTGAGCTTCTTCCCTCAGAGCAGTAGCTTTACCCAAACTCTCCCAGCATCTCTGCCAACAGCATACCTTTGACAAACAGCTTTGACAGACAAGGCTGCTCCGGCCCGTATTTCTTGCTCTTCATGCTCAACACTGGCACCCACGTTTCGAAGCTTTCTCTGTGTCCTTGGGATGCAGCACAAAAGAGGTGAGCTGACCTCTGACCTTTGCATTCTGACCAACCAGGACTAGGGCTAGTGAGAGAGGCCTTTCGTCCCCCTTCTACCGGACTGAGGGATGACTTTGCTCGAAAGTCCCTTTATCTCTGAGTCTTTGAGTCCAAACTACGCTGCAGATAGCCCCATGTTCTGAATATTAATGGGGATGGTGTGTCACATTTTGGATTTTGATCCAAATTGCATCCTCAGTTCATACTTACCATATTCTATGAGGTCTTTGGGCACTTGGCCAGTTAGCAAGTGAATCTGATTGCTGGTCACTCTATAAGTGGTCATCCATTAGCTATTAGTTGCTTGAGTCTGTGCTAACGGTTGGAGTCAGGATAGATCATAGCTTATGACAAATACAGGAAAGTATGCATCTGACACTGTGGAGGTACTGAGAATGATGAGATGTGTCCAGCATGGCAGTGGCAAATCGTGACACGTGTGCTCACGGCGAGCCTGGTAGAACTGATGTATTGGTGAAGCACCAAGCACAACACGACCTGCTGGAGAAGCAGGAGAGGCCTTAGAGATTTCCTCAGCACTGACGAAGCAGCAGTGTACAGCAGACATCTGTCCTGATTGCTCACGAGAGAAAGAGATGGTGGCAGAGGGCTCTGGGAAGCACTGTGCAATGGTGAGACTTAGCCTGGTACTTTATCCACCTTTCCCCTTCTGGCACAAAAAGATATCATGATCAAAGCCAACTTATAGACTTATTTGGGCTTATAGTTCTAAAGAGAGAATGATGGCAGGAAGGCCTGGCAGCAGGTAGCAGGAGCTGGGCGACAATCGATCGCATCTCATCTATACACAGGAAGCAGAAAGCAGCAGGGGGCATCTATACACCCTCAGCTGGCGCCTCCAGTGACTTATGTTCTCCAACAAGACTCCACCTCCCAAAGGTTCCATAATCTCCCCAGCAGGGCCACAACTGGGGACCACGTGTTAAAATATATGAGCCTGTGGGGGACATGTCTCATTCAAACCACCACACCTGACTATTGAGCTGCCTTGGTAGGGGAAGCCAACAGAAATGAGATAACACTTCTAAGCAATCTCATTCATTTTTACAAGCTACGACATGTATTTTCTTTCTCAGTCTGAGAGTGAAAATGGGGCTGGATTAATTTATTCAAAGGTGGTGTCCATTTCTCACATTGCTGTTTAAAGAAATAAGCAAGCCTCTGTTGTGGCAAGGTCCTAATATGCTAGTGGAAAGTGTGTGTGTGTGTGTGTGTGTGTGTGTGTGTGTGTGTGAGTGTGTGTGCATGCACATGCACACGCATATGCACGCATTTCTGTGAACCCAGAATTCTGGAGATAATAAAATATAAGCTACAAGTCAGAAGTGAATGCTGACTCCTTAAATCATTTTCCAACGACGATGGCCTTATTAATGCAGTTTCTCTGCCGTGAAGAAATTCTCTTTGCAGATCAAAAACTGTTTCTGTTCAAAGTGAATTTATTTCAGTGATTATTTCAAAAGATAATGGCAAATCCACACGCAGGCTATACTTAAAAGCTATTGGAAGAAGTGAATGCCACTAAGTATTCTTTGTAAACTCGGACTCAGCACCTAAAATATGCAAACACGCACATTCCTACCAGCTTCTACTCTGCAGTAAATACAGCTCTCCATCTACAAATCTGGTAGCTACTTCGCAAGTTTTATTATTTGTTTCTCTTTCTATAGCAAACAGTTACTCATTTTCTTCCAGGTAGTAGAAATATTTATTTTCCATTTTCAATAAAAATAAAATCTCATATAATGTTGAAAGCATAAAATGTTTTTATTATTTGTGTTAAAATATTCATAAGCTTTTTGTTATTTTATCTCTTTTTTCCTCTCAGAGGCTTGGGAGGAAGTTTAAGTCTGGTCCCTCTGTGTATCCTAGGTTTTCTTAGAACTTATAGGTCAGGCTAGCTTCAAGCTCATAATGATTCCCCTGCCTCAACTTCCCAAGTACAGAGATTACAGGTGTATACCATGATGCCTGGATATTCTCTTAACTGTTAAGAATGAAATTGCAGACTGGAGAGATGACTCGGTGATTATGGGCACTGGCTGCTCTTCCAGAAAACCCAGGTTTAATTCCCAGCATCCTCACGGCAGCTCACAATCATCTGAAACTCCCATTACCAACGATCTGATGGCGACTGTCTGCTTTTTGACCTCCGCAGGCACCAGACACACACATAGCACATGAGTACACACTCATAAAAAATAAATCTTAAAAAAGCTCAATAAAAATAAATTAAAAATTATATTATAAAGGGTAATACTGCTGTCTAAGAAGTGGCAGGTGGGTGAAGTGCTGAAGAGCTGCATTCAGGTCCCATCCACCACATCATCTGGGGTACAAGAGCCCCCAATTTGTAACCCCAGCACTGGGGAGATGTGACAGGGGAGACAGATGCTCCTACTTGCTAGCTAGCCAATCTAGTCAAAATGGCAAGCTCCAGGTTCAGGATTAGTGAGGGATCCTGTGTCAAAAACATTAAGTGGAGAGCTACAGAGGAAAACACCCCAAGTTGACCTCTGATCTACAAACACGCATGTAAGGGCAACTGCATCCTCAAACAACCACAACCATGCACACAGGCTCTCCCTTACACACACACACACACACACACACACACACACACACACACACACTCACTCACAAAAGAATAATTTTTTAAGCAGTTGCTGGCTATTGCCTAGATCAGAATAATAACTTGGAGTTTTCCACTGGCTCGTGTCTACACTGAGTTCAGTGAACTTGCCCATCATTTATCTACTCCATGGATTTAGGAATTAGTTACAAAACGACCTGAGTTCTCAGTGTTCCGACTGATTGAGCAATCCCTGGGATGCTTTCACAGCTGTGTTGACAAATTAGCAAACAACAAGATTCTGCACCAGCATCTCTGCACTAGCCGTGGTGCTTTGGCAATAGGGATAGACTTTATGGCGATGCCATCAAGGACGGGTGACCTGGACTCACACTTACTAGTCATGTGGTCCTTGTGCAAGTTACTGCAACCCACTTAACCTTGGTATCTCCATGTGAGATGGGAACTGTGTTTGTGTGTTAGGCATAAGTGAGACTAAATTGTTCGCTGTTTGTGACATGATAGGAATGGCAATCGGACAGATACCCAATAAAGCATCTCTCCCTGAAAGCCCAATTACCTATATGCATTTGCTATGTCCTTGTAACAGTTGTAAAGTCACAGGTCTTTGGTGCTAGATGTCGCCATCAATAGTTAATTAATTGAGTAGTGTTTCACAGATGGGGAGATCAAGACAACAGGAAGCTGAATAGTGACCAAGTTCCTTTTGTTCAGTTTTCTATCTGTAAAGTGTGGGATAAATCATGTGGCAAGAATTATCTCATTTTAAATTCCTGGTATAGCCTTACTCTTGTTCCTACGCCTTCTCAAGACTCTTAGAATGAAGTGAGAGGTTCAAAGACAAGCCTTTCTAGCCTCAGGTTCAGTCTCTCGTGAGAAAGGAGCCACTGTCCTAGATCAATGACCTGTGGAGGACTGGGGGACATGGGTTTGAATTCATAAGGTATGCTATAAGGTAGACAAAGTCTAAATTCATGTTCAAAATATTGATTTAAAAGCTTGAGCTAGGTCGAAGGGATGTCTCGGTAGGTAAAAGACACTTGTTACCAAGTTTAAACACTTGAGTTTGATCTCCAGGACCCAGAACTGAGTCCCCAAAACACCCTCCACCCAATAAATTTACAAACAGAACCAACCAACTCTATGAGGAAATATTGTTCATTTTAGATGACTTCCACTGATATCAAATAAGTCCAAATCTTTCCTATCAGCTCGTACTGACCTGAGGAAGCTTAATGTAAACTTAATGATGTTCTTAAAAGGCTGTGAAGACAACCTTCAAAACACCATGATGTCTAAGAATAAATATTTTAATAGGAACGTGCAGGAGAAAGCACCTAAGATTACTCCCTCATCAATGAATAGCATGCATGTTGTTAAAGGTCTCCGAGAGTTTAAAGGGGTCTCACCAGCCTCACATACATGTCTCAGTTGACACTCACCTCTTAATTGAACTGGTCCGTTTTCACAAAACCACACCTCTAGCCCACTGACCAGTGAGGGGACTTAACATGCATTCAAAGATTTTCTCAAATATATTTTCCTTAAACATAGAAATAGGACATGACTATTTTCAGTGCAGTAGATAGACATGTATGCAAATCTGCATAGATCCACATTCAGTAACTTGCAGAATGGCTCATTTGAGAAGATTGTAGTTTCCACTGATGGCCATGCCATTCAATCTGTGTTCTGCAGTTACCACACAAAGGTGAATGGTTTGACTGTTAAAAACAGTCCACGATAAACGGTGTTGATGCACACTGAATTGTGCAGAAGTGAGCAGTGCTGACTCTGCACATTTGGAATCCCCAGATGAACATGCCACTGGCCTATTTCTCAGTCTCTTGGGTGGCTCTGGATGGGGCCTAAGATTCGACAGTTCTGACCAGCTCATGGGTGATGCTGGGCTTGTTGTCCCAAGGACCACAATTTGAATAGCAGTTCCTTAAAAATCATAATTACATGAAGTAAAGCATTCAAGATTTGTGACGGTTGGCTGGTGAGGTGGTTGTTCATTTGTAGGTTACTTCCACTGACATCAAATTGAGTCCAAATCTCTCATATCAGCGTCCTTCAGCAAAGCTCACCCAGGCCACTTCGTAAATGTCTCAGGAATGAGTGAGTGAGCTGAGCCATCCACGCTTCTGATTAAAGGAAGATTTTGGGTGTCCTGATTTTAAGACTAGCTGATGAATTTGAGGCTAAGAAGTACTGCCGACTGCCAAATTCTAAATTGACTATGTTAATAGCTTATTATTGATGAATCTTTTGTAAGACAACCTCCCACACCTTCATCTTAGACGGCAGTATGATTAAAATATGGTACCGTGCTGATTTGATGATAGGCATGTCTTCCTGGAGCACAACCTAACAAACTGGTGGGTCTTTTCTCTTATTCTTATACACCTGCTCTTCCTTAGAGGCTTCTCTCTGTTATTAACATCAAATTTGTAAAGAAGCACAGAGTTGTGCAACTTCTCTGCTGGCCCTTTCCCTCCTACCTTTGGCGTTCAGAGCATGTTGAAACAGTGGTCAAGTTCCTGCTTTCCCTTTCCTCGTTCAGAAAGCAATGAGCACTCTGGCTGTCGCTGCTGCTGCTGTCGCTGCTGCTGCTGTCGCTGCTGCTGCTGCCGCTGCTGCTGCTGTCGCTGCTGCTGCTGCTGCTGCTCATTCCTTTACATCGCTCCAGACACAGTGAATTCCCAACCCTGGTATTAAAGAAGGGAAGCAAAGGAAAGAAAATGGCTGGCAGCTAAAAACAGGAGCCTAGAGAAGTAACCCAAAGCTAAAGACATGGGTGAATTTTTCTTAAACCATTATTTCTCTACACATTTCTAAAACTTTTCAGGTCTTGGTAGCTTTTTTAGAAATAGAAAGATGTTGTCCAGCTCAATCTAGATTTAGCTAGCACTTCCCTTCCTCATTAATACCAATCTTTGCATGCGAAGGATTTCTTTAACATTAATTCAGCTCTTGATTTAATGTGCCTGGTCCTTGCAACCAGGGAGTGAAATTGGCAGGCCCAGTTTATGGAGCCATTTTTCACAAATGCAAAGGAACCACTGTGTCACACCTGGGGACAGTACTGCTATTTTGAATCTGACAGTATAGCAAATAGTATAATGTATTTTCCCACATCCACAGGTCTTCTCTATGAGATCTCGGCCTGCCACTGCCAATGCCCCAGTGGACTGGCCTGTAGGTTAGGGCCATGGCCTTGTGCTGTCTGACACCTCTAGATTTAGGACCTTAGCATTTTGCTCTCATTAAAATGAAGAAACAAAAGCAAGAATGTTGGAGGAGGCCACTTGTTTGTTTCCCAGCTGTTCAGAAACCGTATTAATTAAATAACTGCTTGGCCTATTAGCTCTAGCTTCTTATTGGCTAACTCTTATATAATAATTTAACCCATTTCTATTAATCTGTGTATTGCCATGTGGCTGTGGCTTACTGGCTAAAGTTTTAACGTCTGTCTCTAACAGGGCTACACGGCTTCTCCCTGACTTCACCTTCTTCCTCCCGGCATTCAGTTTAATTTTCCCCGCCTAGCTCTGTTCCTCTATAGCTCTGATATAGGCCCAAAGCAGTTCCTTCATTAACCAATGATATTCACAGCGCACAGAGGGCAATCCCACATCACAAGAAGGACAAACTAAGTGCCAGTCCTTAGTTTTCCTTGCATAAGTGTCTTGAACAGTTTGGCAGACAAATTTAAATGTGCCTTGTGACTGAGCCCTCCTGAAAGTTTCCCTTAAACTGATACTGACATATGAACCCTCTTAACTCTTGCTGGCACTTAGCTTTGGCTTTACCTGCCTTTAAAATACCCCTGGTTGGTCTTCTCCTCTGAAAGGTCCACCCCTACACAACCCTCCCTGTCTGCTCACAACAGCTGCCCAGGAAAGAGCCCTAGAAGAAGAATCCCCTGGGGGCTCGCCCCACCCAGCCTTCCTTTATTGGCTGGACAACCCTGCTCCAGCAGGAGGCTTTAGATGGTGGTGGTGGGGGCACTCTGAATGCTATCTCTATTGTTAAAGACAGTTTGCATTACAAAATAATGAAGCTGGGAAGCCTCATTTGACTTGAAAGCCTCATTTGTCTTTGCTTACCTGGAGAAAGTGGGATCTCCAGTGCAAAACTGCTGTCTTTCTTCTGAGTTACTTACACACATGTGAATAGTCTACTTGGTGAGGGTGGAAAACTGCAAGCAGTTGCCTTTTCCCCCTTCCAAGAATCACTTTGCTCCTTTCCAGTAAAAAGCTGAATTGTTGGATGAACCGAGTATTTCCGGTGGCCTAAGTACCTTGGCAGCCATTCTGAAGTCTGTTTGTTATGTCTATTGGATGGTGTGTTAAGGACATGATCTTAGACAGACAATCTTGCTACTTGAAAATTAGAGGAAAAAAAAAAAGAACACAGGTATCCAGAGTTAAGGAAAAGCATTCTGCTATATCTCAGAGGCCTGTCTGTGATCGAGAAAATGAAGGTTTCTCCTGTCATTTCCAAGTCACTGAATAAAGCTAAATTCATTCTAGAGATGCTTAGGTGTCTGGGCTGTCGCCAACCACTCTGTTATGGAGAAGGTGCCGTTTTAGAAACACAGTTAATACCCTATTTGTGCCAGATATAAACATTTTGTAAATTAGATTTATTTCCCGATAACTTTTATTGTTGGATAAAAGAAAACAAATAGCATAAATTTAAGAATATGTAAATTATGAAGCACAAGGAAAAGCCACCCCCAGGTTAAGAGCGGGAACATGTGCTGCCATGATGTCATGTGCAGTCTCCTCCTTCTCCTCCGTCCTCTCCAGCCTACACACACAGACGCCCAGACTCCGCGATGCTGGTGTCCACTGCGTGGCTTTCTCCGGGAGAGATGAATTCTTCTTAATAATTCCTGTGCCGTTGAAGGCCGCTCAGTGTTTGAGCACCGCGCTCCCGTCTCTACCGCTCTCTGTTTTATTTCTCCTTCCCAGTGTTCTGTTTCTGAGATTTATCTAGGGCTTAGGCTTGACTTAGTTCAGGGCCATGTGCTTAACTATGTGAGGTCCTGGGTCTTATTCCCAACTCCATAAATAAATCAACCCACAAATTAAACTTTGGAGAAGGACGATTCTGAGACAGGGACTCTAGAACATTCTGTTCTAGCTCAGGAATAGAATTTTTCTAAGGCAGAACTTCTAGTTTCCCTTCCAAGTGAAGCAGGAAATGGTTTAGAAAGAATTAAGACCACATTTGTACAATTATAGGAGCACTGGGTCAGGTTAGAGCATAATTAACTTCTTCCTACTTAACCTCTCTCATTCTTCTTCAAAAAATAAATTAAAAAAAAGCAGAAAATTGCCCACTTCTAATTCTCCCAACAAATAGTTTAGTTTTGATTATCTTTTATATTCTACATATGAATTTGTTAAATAGTTTGAATTTGTATCCAGAAAACTGCCTTGCTTTTGAAAATTTTATTTATGTTTGCAAATTATTGGCAGTTTTATAATTTCACTTGAGAAACTAACTGTTCATGAAGGGAAAGTGTTCATTTTGTAAAGCCTTAGGCAGTTAAGAGTAAGAGTTCAGTGATGGCACGTGCCTGTAATCCGTGTGGTAAGGATGCTGAGGCAGCCGCATCCGCTTCGAAACCAGCCTGGCCTACATAACAAGATCCTGTATAGATAAAAAATGATGAGAATTCTGGAGGCAATCTGCTTGAGTTCGGAACTCAGTACTTTTGTTAACTACTTGAGTAAGTTATTTGGACAAGTTCCTTACATATTTTTCTCTTTCTGTGTTCCCTCATCTGCATAACAGAGAAATCAGTAGCATTAAGCAAACTTGTATATATAAGTATATGTACTAGAACCAGATGTTGAGTTGGTTCAATCCATTTTAGTTCTTGTACATGAAACTGCTATCTTTTCTATATTACTACAGTGTTTTACTAGATAGCAACATATGATATCCTTTATACTGTTTAGGTACCTAAGACTATTTTTTTCCTTATAAATGTAATTGAAACAATATTTGTTTCCCTGCTTGGGGGACTACATTCCCTACATAACTTTCTAAATAAGCTTCCATAGTTAGCCAATGGGATGCAGTACATGGGAGCATCACACAAAGATGCCCTTTGAGTATCAGTCATTATAATGCACTGGGTACCATTATTTGACATGCCTTAGCTTTCTATTGAAAGTAGATTTGAGATGCTTTTCCACACACAGTGTGATTATGGAGCCTCAAAGATCTTAGACTAAGACTTAGTGATAGCATTTTTCATGGAAGAGATAAGGATTGAGATCATAACATGTTTGCAATTTCAGCCTATCCTTCAGAAAAAATATAAACAGATTTTCTCTTTTGTTTATCAGAGAAGCTAACCACTCTTGATTACTGGAATTTCAAAAAGAAATGTTAAATAAAATAAGTCCAGAAACTTCCATTTTCAGGCTGTTTGATATGGACTCTCTTTAGCTAAGTATAACTTATTACACACTTAAGAAACTTCCTGGGAAAAAGACATCCCTTTGCAAATCAGCCCTTAGATGTCAAAACATCTGAGGCTGTTGTAAGCACAGGTTCCTCTGTTCTGCCTCATTCGGCAGCTGCTTCTAAATAATCACTCAGAGGTTTATATTAATTATAAACTATTCAGCCTATAGTTCAGGCTTATTATTAACAAGCTCTTATATTTAAATTAACCCATTTCTATTAATCTAAGTATTGCCACATGGCCGTGGCTTTTACTGGTCTTTGCCTGTTGGCATCTTGTTTCTTGGGCTGCTGGCTCATGTCTCTCCCTGACTCTGCCCTTCCTTCCCCCTGTATTCATGTTGGCTTTTCTGCCTAGATATATTCTACCTTGTTATAGGCTAAAGCAGCTTTTATTATCAATCAATAACAGCAATGTATATTCACAGCATATAAACGTGTTATCCCACAGCAAACCGTCAACACACAGCAGTGCTCTTTTCACTGATCACGTTCCTTCCATACCATTTAGGATGCACTCTGTCCTTTTCTCAAGGCATAAGCTTGGTGCAGTTTGTCATTTCAAATAACGTTATCACATGTAAGAGGGCTTCCTGTGTTCATTTGCTTCCACGACTCGTTTTTAAGTCTTTGAATCATGACAAAGCACATGCTACTCATAACCTTTATATGAGGACCAGAAAAGCCCTAAGGCTATAATATTTGCTAAGTGAGTATTGATTGATTGATCAGTTAAAAGCCATATAAGCAGGCAGTGGTGGCCTGAACCTATAATCCCAATATTTAGGAGGCAAAGATAGGATGGTGATAAGTTCTAGGGCAGCTCATGCTACACTGTGAATTTAAGGCCAGCCTGGGCTACACAACAAGGAACTAAAGGCTGGAGATGCGCAGCTCAGTGCAAGACCAATTGTCCTGCACATGCAGACCCTGGGTTCGAGCACTAGCATAAAAGCAAAGAAAAACAAGCAAAACCTCCTATCAGCTCACTCTAGATTCAAAGGGACAAGGTCCATGTGTTCCTCCAAATGAACTGAGACCTCAAAACAGAAGGACTTTCGCTTTTGCTTGACAACCTCCCCGGACTTCCTTGGCCCACGGTGACCTGCAGGCATAGCACTATATATATATGAAGGTGAGGTTTAGCTAGGTCTGAGGTGTTTGGACTCCAGTTCTAAATGTGAGCAAGGACTTTAACTGCTCAGCACCTCACAGTGTTTTTCATCTATCAAATGGGGGAAGAGGGAGAGTCTGTACATACATACCCGGACTGGAGAAAATGTTTCATGCAGAATACCCAGCTCCGAGTTTACTTAGGATACAAGAAAAGGCATCCTGTTAAATTCCTATTCAAGCGTGGGTGCTGGTTTGATATTTACTGCTGGGTTCCTGGAAGACACCCACTATATCTAAAATCAAGTTTATGACCTTTTCCATTCCCTAACCCAGGGAATTCACCTGCAGGGAAGATGACACCATCCATCCCATTACACAAACGAAAAGTATAGACTTCTCCACGCATCTCATTTCCTCTCCCCACTTCCCATTTCCAGACCCACTCACACGCTTGGCCTTCTAAGTCCCTTCCCCCACTACCCACAACCACCAGATTAGTAGATTTCTGTTCTCTGGCCAGCATATTGCAGACAACCGAGCTTCCTACATCTTCATGCATGGCTCCAGTCTACTCGGATTACAAGAGCAACTTCCTCTGAAGAACGTGGATCTGAGCCCACCACCCCTCACCAGATCCTTCTCCACCCTGCTCTGTGCCTTAGGAAGAGGCTGGGTACTATACTACATAATTTCCCCCTGGATTTCTCCCTGCTGGGGAGCCTCATACTGGGTCCAAGTCTTTACAGAAGGCCACAATTATTACAAAATAAATTATCGCTATAACTGTCTTCTCATGGGCATCCCTGTCCTCCACTTTGGTACCCAGGCACAGCTGTAGCTTTTCATTCTTGCTGTGCTAGGGTACTGTACATCCCTTGTTGGTTACCCTTAACCATTGAGATACCCACAATAAAGAGCCCTTTAATTAAACTGTCCTTAGCTGACCCCTCTGTTTTCTGCTGGGATCCTGGCCAACTGGACATCTCTTTCCTTGAGCTAGTCTTTGTGTTTTTCTAACACTCCACATTTCCTTCTACCGCTGTCTAGTTAGTTGTTACTTGCCCTTAAAGTCTTAGCTCAAATCTCATTCCTCCTTGAGGATCTCCTGCCTCCCCAAATAGGTTGAGTGACGGCAGCATCCTCTCCATATGAAGCTAGTTGCTTCATTGTGAATGTAACATTATACCAGCTCCTAACAGGGAGCATGGTACATGTGAAGGTTAGAACACATATGACACTTAATTTGCTAGTCCTTAACTATAATAGGCTAGTTGTAAGAATAATCTGGTGTTGTTACTATTTATTTGTTATTTTGTAGGGCAGTGTCACATATGCTAATTACATTTTGGGTAAATTCCTTTTTTGGAGGGGGAACAGGGTCTTTTTTCCAGTACCTTTTCCAGTACCCCTTTATGTATCTTAGAACACCTCTCCTCCCAATATCCGTGTAACTGAATTCTTCACCTTCTTCAAAGTTTTGCTCAGGAATTTGCTTGGTGGAGCGTTAGTCAAACCCTCGATGCCTTGCTTTGCTTTTCAGTGACCTCCCCACCCACCATTGCTTTCTGAGGTGCTATGCTCTCCTGTCTGTCTGTAAAACCTATGTATACCAGCATGCCTGGTATACAGCAAGCATTTAGACACAGTGTCTCAAAGGAAGAAAACTGACATCCTTTTCCCAACCCTCGATTAGGCTACACCCTTAACTCACTTCTAGTGTTTTCCTACAAATCAAGATTCAAAGACCATTTGTTGTCCTTTTAC